CAATCTTTTTATCAAGACCTTCGTGCCCTTGCCTCCCTCACTATCTCACCCGTTCTTCTCCCTCCCCTCCCAGCCTCCCTGAGAGAACTCACACACCATTCTTTGTTCTGTGAAAGGAATGCCTAGAAGAGACACAGGTGCTCTGTCCTGAAGCTCACATTTTGATTTTAGAAGCTTGACAGGGCAGTGACTATAACTTAGGTGTCTGAACCAACACACAGGACTATGATTACCTCAAATATTTGGGAAAAATAATTAAGTCCTTCTTTTGTTAGACTTTTTGGTGGACTTCTCTGGTTGGAGCTTTTCCAGCATTCATTACCATATTTAAGTGGTTTCTGGGTGCTTAATGTATTAAGACATGTTCCTACAGACAACCTTATCTTCGAGAAACAGAAAAATAAAAGTCACATTCATAGGCAGATTCTAAATTCTAAATTCTAATAAGTAATTATTACTATGTATCATGACTGCAGAAACAATAGAATAAAGTGTCATATCTCATGAAAATGGTATCTAGCCAAGCCTCACTTAATCCTTCATCATGTAGGAACATTCTAATTTAAAACAACTAATAAACAGCTACTATATAGCTGAAGTGACATTTAAAATAGCTAAGTATCTCTATGACAAAACAAATCTCAGCAATAATCATCAGTAGATGCTAACATCACAAAGAGACAGATATTAGGTGCCTCTTAATATAAATACATACCTTGTTATATGTAAATCGTGATATATACTGTTGTTTAATCAGACATCAGTCCAGTTAGATTAACAAAGTATCATTGCCCCTACACACACACACAGACACACAAATCCTTGCATCTGTTCAAGCCTCTAGACTAATGCTATTCTCAGCTGGACCAGGGGAGGGGAATTTTGCTCTTGTAGGACATTTGACATTTTTTTCTTTTGAAATTAGAACATTTTCTGGAGACATTTTGGTTGTCACAACTGAAAGGTGCTTCTGGCTTCTAATGGATAGAGGACAGGGATACTGTTTAGACATTCTGCAATACTCAAGACAGTTTTCTATAACAAAAAAGGATCTGGCCTCAAATATCATTAGTGCCAAAGTTGAAACCTTCCTATAGACTAGCTATCAACTTTTAGGAAATACAGGACACAGAACATGTTAAAGAACACCTGGGCATGCAATGAGCAAGACAAAGACTGTGAGAAATAAATTGCCAGGGGTAAGAAACAAGATTGGGAGGCAGATCTACAAATTGAAAGATAGCAATGAATCCCAACATACAGGTTTTATTTGGATTTTGATTTAAATTACAGCATAAAAAATAGTAACAAGTTGACAGGGATTTTAAAAGCTGACTGGATATCTCATTATTTGAAAGAACAGTTGTTAACTTTTAGGTGGGAGCATGATATTGTTATGTTTTAGTCCTTATATTTTTAGAGATAAATATTGAATTATTTTTAATTGAAGACAAAATTATATGATGTCTGAGAACTGCTTCAAAATGATGGGGAGAAGAATAAAGAGATATTGATAAGACAAAATTAGGTGTAAGTTGATAATTCATATAACTGAGTGATTAGGACAAAGGAGTTCATTATGCAGTTCATTCTGCTTTTGATTATGTTTAAAACCTTCCATACAATAATTTTTTTAAATAATAAAATAGCTAAGTAACCTTCAGGCAAAAATATTTTGTAAACTTCCATTACTAAAGAAAAGTATTCTTAGACCATGGGCGTGGGTTGAGACCTAGGTTAAAATCCTGGATCCTCCACACTTGCTTCTTGACAATCTTTAGAATCTCTGTAAAGTGGAGATGGTCATCACACTTAACCTAGAATAGTAATGTGAAAACTGCAGAAGATAGTGAATGTTGCCCAGGAAATGGCAGTTGCCTTTCCCATTTTCCACAGGAGCTCCAAACAAAGAAGGAAAATAAGATCAGACCATTTCTGCTTCTACACCAGCACCTTCTAAAGACTTTGGTCCAAGCCATTCATTTCCTTCTTGTATGAATCTGTCTATGGACAGGAGACCAAAGCACTAAAAATTAAGTATAAAGATTCTTTTCTTAATTTCCTCTGATTTATCAGGGTTTTTTATTATACTCTTCTATAAATAACACATAGCAATAAATGAACAAGGTAGACAGAAATAAGAAAGGGTACCTCACTGTAAAACTCCCACACATATGTGAGATTCATTTTAGGGCCATGAATGCTGAAGGATTTGTGACTTAAAAGATTCCATAAACAATGAGCTATACATCTGGTTCTCTTTTCTTAACAAATCCTATTTCACTAATTACTTGTACTTAATAAAACAAACAAACAAAGAGTTGATTAAAAATAACTGCCCTTCCTTTCTGTCATTCCTTTCTATAAGAGCTGCTTGCATGCTCGCGCCCTGCCAGCTTTTTTCTGAAAAGGTCCGCTGGCAAAGTCATGAGGCCGTTGTAGTGGTGACTTTAGGCTTGGCTCCAGGGTGTTCACATAGAATAAATCCAAAGTCTCAGCCCTCTTTTTTTTCCCCTAAAATAGCCTTTCTTTCAGTCCCATTGCATTTGCAATAAAGCACCCATTTTTATCCACCTATAAAATAAGGATTAAAGAAGCAAACTATTGGCTTGTGGCACAGGCCTCTGGTTTTCTCTTAAATTTGCACAAGGACTTCCTCCTATGAAGTCCTTCATGAAGAACAGTCACCAAACTTGGAACCAGTAGATGGGTGAAGTCCTAACTCTACCACACTGTCCAACCTTGAACAAGCCACTCTACCCTCTGCATGTTTCTTTATTCATGAGGGAGTGTAATAATACCTAGTACTCACTGAAAATTCTAATAATAATAACAACTGGAATTTATATAATGCTTTAAAACTTATAAAAAACTGCAATACATGGTTTATCACTATTATTAATCAAAAATATTTTCTTCACTTGCCACAAAGAAGACCTATTGTTTACTTCAAAAGTACTAAAGGAGAGTCCTTGACTAACAGATTTGTAATTTTATGACATCCAGACACACACTACTACTTTTTAAATTCCAGTACTAAGTATAAATTACTGGTAAAATTTCCACAGCAAAATGAGACCCAAAAATTAGAGGCCATAATCTCTTTCAAAGGGAATATTTAACTCACTGAAATAAGCCAGGGACAGAAAGAGAAGTATCAAATGATTTCATTCATCTGTGGAGCATAAGAACAAAGCAAAACCTGAAGGAACAAAACAGCAGCATAATCACAGAACCCAAGAATGGACTAACAGTTACCAAAGGGAAATGGACTGGGGAGGATGGGTGGGAAGGGAGGAATAAGGGAGAAAAAGAGGCATTATGATTAGCACACATTATGGGGTGGGGAGAGCACACGGGGAAGGCAGTATAGCTCAAAGACAAGTAGTAATTCTATAGCGTCTTACTACGCTGATGGACAGTGACTGTAATGGGGTATGTGGTGGGGACTTGATAATGGGGGGAGTCTAGTAACCACAATGTTGCTCATGTAATTGTACATTAATGATAACAAAAAAAGTAATAATAATAATAAAAAAAGAGAGCATTTAAGTTGGAAATTACACCACAGCAGAACGGTACCAGGATCAGTGCCAGGAAATGGAAATACAAAGATAAAGGGCACAGACTCCTCTAAAAGAAAAAATACCATACAAGAGAAAAAAGCCCTGGAGGAGAAGTATTCTTATTTCTAAAGGTAATGGGATGACAGCATGGATGCAGTGTGAATCTGGGCCTGTCTGGGCCCAGATCTTTCCTTTCCACATTTACAATTTCTTCCATTAAGAGTATAGTTTGAACCGTACAGTGAATCAGAACAATCTGCAACCAGTTTACATCAGCTCTCACCCTAGACGGGGCACCATACTGGGAAGTGTTGCAAAATATACAGAAGATGGTTCTTTCATCAGGATGTATAAATTACACCATTCAGACTAAAGGAAGGAATTTAGGGACCATCCAAAAAATGAAAATTAAACCAAAATGATCAAACTATAGAGGAGATGTTGCACAGGAGAGCACACTAAAGCTGAAGTCTTTAGTTGGAAACAACAGTAACTAAGAAGTTAATGATCAAAGTTTCTAAGGTACACAAAATCTATACACCAATTATTGGAATACTGGAATACCAAAATAACTCCTTGAAGCTTGAAACATAAATTTAAGAGCAAAAGAAAGGAGGTAACTTTACTCAGCTCATAGTAAACTTATGAAATGCAGTATACCAAACATAATGTCGAGAAAAAAATGTATAAAAACTCAAAGTTCTGGATAAATTCAGATGATAGACTTCTTAGGGCTCTTAAGAGAAAATGTATGTCTGAGACTAAAGGCAGGTTAATGGGCCAAGGGACTGACACAGTAGAATGATTCCTATATTCCTCTATTAAAGCAACTCTATGTAAACCTCAAGAAAGGCAGATTACCCTTTATTTATTTGTAAGAAATATATCATTCACCATGATTGCACTCTCTTATTTTGGGTATGGTAATATTTAAACATTATTCATAGAATACTGCGATTTGTGGGCCTTATCTTGTAGCATGGTTACAAACTGATATAGTATGCTGCCATTATAGAGAAAGCCAATTGCAAAACATAACACTCTTCCAAAGGTGATCTGCAAAATATTGAGTCCATACAAGCAGGAAAATGAGACATTTGATTTAGAAACTCACCACAGTATTGTAGTAAAAGTTAAAATTGAACAAACTAGATTTTATACTCAATGTATTCAATAGCCTTTCCAAATTCTATGTCAATGTTACAAGTTTCTTACTTTAAAAATACAGAAACTTGATGTGCTAAGGCAGGATATCTTGCTAAAATAGACTATCAGAGAATCACCTCTAATCCACAGAAGAATCTGCCAAGGGATTTCAATAACAAGAGGCATATTGTAGGCATTTCTGTCCATCAACAAATCTAATAAACTGATTAAAATGCCAAAGGGACAAAGGTGAAACCAAATACAGAGCAAAGACTGGAGGGGACTCACGGCAGCCCCTCTCATCGGTGCCATCTGAGCAGTCTCTGACGTGGTCACACCGGTATTCATTTGGGATACATTCACCACTGGAGCATGTGATCTGCTTGCTTGAGCATGTTCTCCCAGCTGTGAAGGGGAAACAATATTACTTTATAATTACTGACAAACACAGACCAATCTACTGACATTTACCATCTGTGAATGTAGAAATTTGAAATCAAAGGCAGGTAGAGTATACTGAACACAAAGTTCATAGGGTCGCAAGGTAGAGAACCCAGTAACACCAAGATAGAGAGCTTACAATGCAAACACAAAGATATTATTATTAGGATGCTATCAAAATGCCCACAGAATCATATCAACATTCATGCAGGTTAGTGTAGACAATTATACCTGTCAACAGGTAACAAGAATATGATTGAAATACAATTGAATACAAATATAGATTGAAACTCATAAGGTAAAGAGGATGAATGAAGTAAGAATTTTGCAGATATAGATATTAATCAAGAATCAGTAAGGACTCCTCATTGAAATCCTTATTTAAACAAGGAAATATGCCAAAGGGTTAAGAGTAGCTATTTCTGAGAGGTAGGAGTGTGGATGATTTTACTTCTTTCTTTAGCGTTTTCCCTATTATATAAACTTGCTACATTGACATGTGTCAATTTTATAAACAGAAGGGCAAAAATTTAAACTAGTTAGTTTGTGTCCTAGGATGACTAGCACAGGTGGAAGCAAGGCAGCAGTAGATCAGCAAACCCATTTCTGGAAAAAATAGATGAAATCAAATGAATGATACCACAAGCATCAGGTGAACAACATTTAGCTGAGCCTGAGGCAATAGTTATCATGGGATTCTTCAACTGTCCAAATAAAAAGAGAAGCATGTGGGGGAAATGTGATCTGCTAAAAAATAATATAATCATCAAATGAAGAAAACAAGCTTTCCCCTGAATTTTTATATTTCCTATCCTATATAGTAAAGATACTTAGGTTCAGAAAAACTCAGTTTTCTCATAGGGATGTGACATCTAAACTTAAGAAGAAAGACCTTTCTAAAAGGCAAGTGCACAATGACAGCTTTAGAGTTATACTTGAAAATTCAAACACATCAATTACCATGTGATAACAAGATGTAAAAAATTAGACATAATTACTACACTTTTCAATGCGTAATTGATTATATCTTCCTTGTCATCTTGTTCTTTCTTTCTGTTTAACTAATAAAATGATTGTAGCCTGCAATTCTTGAATAACAAATAAAATTTTTCCAGTCAGCCTATTTCTGAATTTGTATGATTTCTTCTAGGACTTTATATCTGTGACTTAAATGTTGCCTCTATTAACAGAGTTGGAATATACCAACTTTTCTGGAAGTCATTTAAATATCTGAATTCTGCCCATTGATAGATGCAATTTGATCTGAATAAGGATAAACAGACGAATACTTCCTCCTTAAAATCCTAATTTATTTAAGTATATATTGTTAATTAACATGTAAACTGAATGACCTCACTTTTATTCTTGAAAAAGCAAGTCATGAGTCTTCTTAAACAAAATATGAAAAGAAACTAAGTGCCAGTATTACTTGAATTATATTTGGCTTTCTTCTTAAACTCAAGTCCAAGTCAGTTATACATTTTGTGCTTGACTTAAAAGGGTTTATGAGGGGGAATTAAAAGCTCATTCAAACATAGAAAAATAATAAATTAAAATTATGTTGTTTCATCAAACAATCTAATGCTGGGTTTCACTTTTTCCTGCATTAGATAAACATCCATTGAGGGCCTATTATTTGCCACAAAGTACACCATTAATGGGAATATAAAGATGAAGAAGATACTGTCCCTACTCTCAAAGAGCTCATAGTTTTCTGGGGAAGACTTTAAGCAATAATTAGAAAACAATGATGAATGTGGATTCTCAACAAAAAGCATCAGGGATGGGTGCCTAATTCATTCAAATGGAAGTGTGGACAGGGACAGCTACCTGGGTCTTAAAGGAAAAAGAAGGTCAAAAGGAAAGAGGGACTGTATAGCAATGAGAATTCAGACAGCATGCATGGCATGATGGCTGGGATTCAGCATAGCACCCAAGGAAACTGTGGGCACCGCTGTGGCCCTAAGTGGACATTTCAAGGCCGAAGTGGCAAGTGATAGATGTGAAAAACTAAACACTGACCACATCTCAGAAGCCACTGCAAATTGTGTTAAGGAGGTGGAGCTATCTCCTTGAGATGAAGAGCTACCAAAGGGTTTCAGTTAGATCTTTCCAGCAATAGTGTCAGGTAGCATCTGAGGAGACACAGGACTAGAGGCTGGGAAACCAGTCCAGTGGCTGCTTCAGTTGCCCAAATGAGAGAGGGTGGCAGTGATGGCATAAATGGGGAAGAAATGAACTTTAGAGTGTCAGACAGGAATTGATGGTTAAAGGTGGGCACTGAAAGAAAGGAAAGACTCAAGAATAACTTCCAAGTTCCTGGCTTGGGTGCCTATAGGATTGTGATATCCTTTTCATATTAATTGATTATCTCTTTACTGTAAAACATAGCCTTCTTTCTTTTTCATCTAATAAAATGTTTTATATGAAATAAATTTTGTGAAGTTCCAGGTTAACAAGGAAAACAGCCTCAATCTGCCTATTTCAGGTAGTTAAAGATTGATTCTGCATTTTCTGCTAGTACCTTACAGTACGTTAACATTATTTCTATAATAAAGATAACATGTGTAGACCAGCAAATATAGAAGGTAAGCTGTTCAGGGGGAAGATGATTAATTGCACTTGGGAGAACTTGAGTTTGAGGCATCTTGGAGATGTCAGGCAGCTGAATATGCAAAGCTTAAGTGTGGACAAGATACCTGGGTCCTAAGCATAAATCTGGGTATCATCAGGCCATACAAGGTTACTGAAATCATGAGAGTGGGCGAAATTATCCTGGGAAAGTATATAGATGAGAATTGTTGCTAAGGGCAGGGCTGTGAGCACCATCAATACTCAAAGGCTAGGTAAAAGAGGAAAACAAAATGGAATGAGCAAAGCAGTTAAGAAGAGAGCCAGGACAGGGAGGAGTCAGCGCAGCAAGGGCAGTAGTGTCATGACGGAGGGAGTGACTGCCAGAGCCGAGCGCAGCAGAAAGGTCCACCCAGCACAGTGAGGAAGGAAAAGTGCCCACTGCATTTGACAATCAGCAATCCTTTGATGACTTTAGTCAGCACAGTGGGGGCATATTCTGCCTGTGGTTAAAGGATGTCTAACAAAGAATTTTATATCATTAACAATGCAATAATTATTTCAAGAAATCCATACTCATTTAAAATGATGTGTGACACTGTTTATAAATTACTACTGCAAAGTTATGTCCAGTCTCTTTTCACCAGCAGTTGCCCACAGTAGTTCTCACCCCCTCTGTAAAATATTATTAGTAAGGGGTCACCCACCACATTGTATCACAATCTACAGCTCAGCTTTCTTCTTACTCTGTGTGAGAAGCAAAGGAAAACGGAATCAAAATGACATATGTGGGCCAAAGATAGATAATGCATCATTCATTCATTCATTCAGTTTCCATTTATCAGAACTGACCATTTGCTAGACAGAATACCAAGCCTCAGAGATGCAAGCTGAATAAAACAATAACTGCTCTCCAGAGACTTCACATCTAACCCCATCCTGTGCCCACTGAGCATTAACTATGTGCAGGTCACCAGCTCCTTCTCCTAGGACCTTTGAGAGGCTATTCAGAGAGTATCATAGCCCAGACAGATCTCCTAGAAACAAGGATTCCTTCCCATACCTTACCATGCCTGGCACTCCTCCCTCCTCCCTTTAGTTCTGCCCCACCATCCCATCTCCCTCTTGCAGATCTGCTCATTTCCTTTTGCCACTCCCTCTCAAACCCTGACATGTAACCGGACCCAGTTTAGATACGTCATTCTCCTGCTTGGCCACAACCAGCTCCTGTCCACACCTTCCTCAGTCCTGCCATACGTCACCATGATCCTCAGCAGCCCTGAATAGTTTGCTGGTTTCCCCTAAACCACTTTGTCCTGAGGATCATTGTCTCCTTGTTGCCAGCCAACCCCATGACCAACAATGACAATCCCTTACTGTTTAATTATGCAGTCTTCATCTTAGGTTTAAACCTAAGTTGAACCCTTGGTGTTTTGAGAATTTCTGTTCTCTTTCTCAGGAGACCCTTGGCATCTAGTGGCCTGACTGAAAAGATTTTACACTCAATGCTGGACTCACAAGTCTTGTGCTAAACTCCAATCTTTAATACATGCATCCAAGACCTAGTAAATGTGATAAACTCTCCATTGCTAATCATCTAGTGACTAAACAAGTTTCCACAGGAAGTATCCATCAAAAGCATCTTCTTTGGTCTTTGTGAACAATGACAGGATCTCGGCTAACATCTTGAAACCAGCACAGACTGATGGTAGACGTCCATGATTTGTTTGGTGTGCATGTAATGAATGGGGGCAGGCTGAAAGGGAAATGCCACACAGTGATCAAAGCCGCACTTGTCCAGAGGACAACTGGGGTCAAAACCCTGAGGTGGTTCATTACAGCCTGATATCTTCTTCCCAACTTCCATCTCAGTCCAATCTAGACTTACTAAAATGTTTTGGTTTGGTTTTTTTTTTTTCTGTTGGGGTGGGTACTGTCTTATTAAAAAAGACAGGAAAAGAGTATTGATGGTCTCTCTTCTACATGTTGAAAGCTGAATTACAGGGTTGCAAAATTCAGGTTTCCTGCAGCTTGCATGCAATCATAAAAAGTCAGTAGGCTAAAGATGGAAGAGCAGAAAAGTGGGAAAAAATCAAGTGATGCTATTCAGCTAGAAATTAATCGACACTGGGATAACCCTACACTTGAGCTTCTTATTGTGGAAGACAATAAATTTTCTTTTTGCTTAACGTTTTTGAGTTGTGTTTTCATTCCTTGCAAACAAATTTATCACCATTGTACAAGAATTATTGTTAATTATACAAATATCCTTAATAAAGCACAGATATGATACACATGAATAGACATATTTCTCACATCTTGCCATCTTATATTTACCCAAGATTACTCTCTTGTCCAAAATTATTTTCAAGTCTTTAAAACTCTCTTTTCCAATTTGAATTCCTGAAGAAATTCGAATATAAGGGTTCCTTACAGGTTACGGTCCTGACCCCCTCAGTGTCCAGGAGCACAGCAGTTGCCAATGTCCTCTTCATCACTACTAGTTTCTTTCTTATTGTAGCTCATGCTATGGTGGTCATAGAAGCAGACATTGAAATAACTGCCAACAATGTCTCCACCAGGCCAACCTAATAGATCCTATTCCACTCAAAGAGAGTTTAATACTGGGGCAGAAGGGGTGGAAGGTGTGAATTAAGAGTGCACTGCAAGAGCAAGAAAACTCATCCAACCGCTAACCACCCAAATGAAGACCCCACCTATAAATACCAACAAATGTTTTGTTTCTTTTTTGAGTATAACATGATCTGAATTGAATACTGGGAACCTATCCCATTTCTAAATTCTGGGGTTTTTTTTATAATTCTTCACACTATAATTCCCAGTTTCAGTATCATCCAACCCGTGAATGAGATTGCTGGCATAGGTTCCCTTTATCACTTAAGGCCCAACTCAGCATTTGTGAAGAATCATCCAACTAATGAGCTATTACCTCACACCAGTAAGGATGGCCAGCATTGAAAAGACTAAGAACAACAAATGCTGGCAAGGATGTGGAGAAAGGGGAATCCTCCTACACTGCTGGTGGGAATGTAAGCTAGTTCAACCATCGTGGAAAGCAGTATGGAGGTTCCTCAAAAAACTAAAAGTAGAAATACCATTTGACCCGGGAAATCCCACTCCTTGGAATTTACCCAAAGAATACAAGTTCTCAGATTCAAAAAGACATACGCACCCCTATGTTTATTGCAGCACTATTTACAATAGTCAAGAAATGGAAGCAACCTAAGTGTCCATCAGTAGATGAATGGATAAAGAAGATGTGGTACATATACAAAATGGAATACTATTCAGCCATAAGAAAGAAACAAATCCTACCATTTGCAACAACATGGATGGAGCTGGAGTATATTATGACCAGTGAAATAAACCAGGTGGAGAAAGACAAGAACCAAATGATTTTCCTCATTTGTGGAGTATAACAATGAAGCAAACTGAAGGAACAAAATAGCAGCAGATTCACAGACTCCAAAATGGACTAGCGGTTACCAAAGGGGAGGGGTGGGGTAGGGCGGGTGGGGAGGGAGTGAGAAGGGGACTGAGGGGTATTATGATTGGCACACATGGTGTGAGGGGTCACGGGGAAGACAGTGTAGCTCTGAGAAGACAAATTGTGAATCTGTGGCATTTTACTACACTGATGGACAGTGGCTGCAAGTGGGGACTTGATAATATGTGTGAATGTAGTGGCCACATTGTTTTTTCATGTGAAACCTTCATAAGAGTGTATATCAATAATACCTTAGTTTAAATAAATAAATAAAGACACTTCAGATATTTAAAAAAAGAAGAAGAATCACCAATTGTGTTTTGTATTTATAACAAGTTACACGTCAAGTATTCAAAGGGCCAAAACAAGATTCTTCTGTAAACACTTACGGCAATGCTGTTCATCTGAGCCATCCTCGCAATCCTGCTCTTCATCACAAGCCCAGAGGAGCGGGATGCACAACCCATCACTCTGACACTGGAATTCATTTGACTGGCAGGAAGCATGAGCTATAACAAACCAGAAAGGGGCTCAATATGCCAAACATCCACCCTATCATACAATAAGCAATGCTTATTTCAAAACAGTGCATGTCAACTCCTCCTCAATATATTTGATGGCAAACAGTAAACAATCCCAGAACACAGGGACTCTAATCAGCATCGACCATCAGATAATCTCAGCAATGGCATCACAACAAACTGATAATCCAAAGCAATGCATAAGCACAGAAATAAAACAAACAGCCCAAACATACATATATACAAAGTTATGACCCCAAAACAGTAATAAAAAAAATGAGTTATTATTAAATTATTTGAAATGTTTTGCAATAACTTATGATAAAGCATCATGATGATTTGGAAAACTCATGATATTGGGGAAAGAAAACCCAGATCCAAACAATTATTATTCCACAATTTACTTGTTTTAGAATCTTTGGCAGGTTGTCTGAGCCTCAGTATACATATCATAAAATGGTGACTATGCTTTATCTCATGATTTGCTACAAGAAATAAATAGTGCATGTGAAATGCCATGTAACAGCTGTTTTCATCATTAAGTAGACATTGAAATGTATCAAGTCTCTGAAGAGTTGTTGGTATAGTGCTTCATTTATTCCTCATCACAGAATATGCTGTTTTTGCCTTTCTGCTCCTACTGTTCAACCTAAAATAAATTTACTACGCCCAGAGGAGGCAAATAAGCAGCATATGGTCACTTCTTATCCTTGAGCAGCATGGGGATTAGGGGTGCTGACACACCCCTTTGGGCAGCTGAAAGCTTCTGACTCCTCAAACACTTAATACGAATAGCCTGCTGTTGATTTCATGGTAGTTTATGATAAAATAAGCTAGTATCTACATATATTTTATGCATTTGTGACATACCTAACTTTATCTTAATTTTCTCAATATTTCTAAACCAAACAGTTCATCTGTGAGTTTTTTCAAGTTTTTGCAAATCTCCAAAAAATTTTCCAATATATTTAATTGAAAAAATCCATATAAGTGGACTTTTCGCAATTCAAACCCATGTTGTTCAAGGGTCAACTGTACTCCCTTGCTCAAAGTTTGGTTCACAGTCTAGCAGCATCAACTGGGAGCTGGTAGAAATGCAGAATTTCAGGTCCCACCTCAAACCCTGAATCAAAACCTCCACTTTAACAAGTTCCCCAAGTGACCCATTTGTGCGTGAAAGTTTGAGAGGTACTGTGACTACTACTGAGCTTTCTCTCATTTTCAAATGCATCATCATTCAAACAGTACATCAAAGTTTGTTCTGTTGTGTGGTAGGACAGCCAATAATTTTTAAAACTTTAATTTTTTCACCTGCTTCCTTCACTTTTGGATGATAAACCCTGTCTGTTCACCTATCAGAATGAATGAAATTGCCATAGTGTGATTGATCACCCACAGCAAGCTGGGAAAGCAACAGACACTAGGGTTGGGATTTGTGCACCAACTGGGAGGCCTTTAATAAATGACTTAACTTCTCTACACCTACTTCCTAATCTGAAACCTATCTCAGAATATTGTTAAAGAACTAAATGAAGAAATATATGTGAAAGTGATTTTATAATCAGTTAGATTTGGGGCTTACAGTATCATTGTCTTTTTAACTACAATTTTCTTTTAAACATAAAACCCCAATAGCCACTTTTATGATCTCTTTATGGTAATTCACACAAGTTACACTAGATACTTCATATAAAAATAGACTCCTCTTGAGTTACAAATCATAGTTGTTCAGATAACACTATTTTTTGCTTGTTCTTGTTGGTGCACAAAATTTCCAGAGTGAATAGTCTAAAATAGCCACTTAGAGGCTTCAGAAAACTGCTCACAAATTTGTTCCCATATTAAGGTCATGGGATAGGGTAAGGTAGAAACTGAGGTGAACTGAACCCCTTCCTCAAAAGGGACTAAAACAATTATTAATACCAGCAGTTCATTAGTTCCCTAATCAACCTCAGAGATCTCAAAAGACTTGAGCCAAGTACTGAGTCTGTTCCTAAAGGCACAACTCTTTCTCGGTGTTATAGCTGAAATCACCATGGAGCATTGAATGTCACTCAGAATAGAATTGAGCCTGGCCCCCTCACTTACCGCAGCCACTTTCATCCGTGTCATCTAGACAGTCCCCAGTTCCATCACACCTCCAGGATGCAGGGATACAGTGTCCATTTCCACAGCGAAAATGCTCACTGCCACACCCTGCAATCCACAAGCAAGAAACAGCAAACTAGATTGAAAACTCAACCACACAGATATTTCACCAAAGAAATATAAATTTTTGATAAAAATGAAAAATCATTCAACTACATAACAATCAAAGGAATGTAAATTATTTATAAAAATAGGATAATGTTTTTATAATGAACACATTCTCTGTTACAGGGTCTGTAGGAAAAAGTTCATTTTCATACACAGCTAACTAGAGAGGGCCTTGATGTAAACCAATCTGGAAAGCAATTTGGCAACATGCATCTTGCTTTTTAGAAGTGTTTATTCATTAACTTAATACTTTTACTTCTAGGTATTTTTTTTCTAAGCAACTAACTAATCAGAGAATTAGACAAAGATTTATGTATGAAGATTTTAGCCTCAACATTATACATATAATAAAGGAAATCGTAAACCTCCTAGATGTTCAATAATAGGAAAAGGTTTCAATTATCTTATGTCTCGACATATTAGCAACTCATGTAAATGGTCATGAAGAACTTCTAAATGATTTGAAGAAATATGTATAATATAACACAACACAGACAAGGATGAGAAATTTTACCCATAACAGTGTCACATATATGGGGAAAAGGAGCATAGAAAAGGACCAGAATGCTAACGGTGGTTATCTCTGCTGATGACATCATGAGTAACTTTTCATATGCTTGACTCTGCTTTTTTCAGTTCCCCAGTTTCTGAAAGTGCCATTTTATCACTAAATGATGTGTAGCAATTTATGGTCCTTTATTCTTAGATTCAGACCAATATTTGGGCTTTTGTGTTTTAACTGATCTGTAAGATGACAGATCTTTAAGCTCACCTCTGCAAACAAGTATTCTTTTTAAAGAAACAAACAAAACAACTTCTACAACCAACCAGAGTGAGCAAACTGGGCACCAGAGGCTGCCACGTTCCCAGGCAGCAGTTATATACGCTGAGAAATGCCAGAAAGAGAATGTGACTTAAGTTCATTCACTCAACCATTACATCCTGTGATTCTCCTGGGTGTCCCTAGAGGATTAAATTGGCAGTTTCCCCAAATATCTAACCAGTGACCTCCTCGTGCATTATATGTCAAACAGAAAAAAATTTTAAAAGAGAGCAGTCAACACCAGCCCAACTTGAAGAAAATTCAAAATTATTATTTCACAAACCCAAGGTGGTAGAAGAGCAATTTGTGGGGATGGAAGAATACAATTATTTTCCTCATGTATTTAAGCAATCATGCTGAATTACCCATTTCAATTTTTGACTAATTAACCCAAAACTAAGTAAACATATGGTTCAATAGCCTACTCCTAAAATAAATAAACAATGTGCTGTCCTTACTTTTGTAAATGCAGGCATATCAACAGCATAGCATAAACATAGTTAAGTGATCTATTTCTAGGGGATATGGGCTACTTTTTCATGGAATGTTCAAATCTGATTGTCTGGTAGTGACATCCTGATTTATAATGTATGCTGCAAATGGTCAGAAACTTCCTTTGGCTAAATGGTGGTACCGAGTGGTACAGGAATACGTACACCCGAATACTTTCTGTAGACTAATGTTTGATGGTGGTTGGTGGTGCAGGTCTGGGGTTGGTGGTGCAGGTCTCTTATCAACTACCTTTAAAACACAACAACCTCCCTTGCAAAACTGCCCCCTGAGGAATGTACAAATTCACTCTGGAATCCCAGAACTTCTCATTGGATTTTGTTCTACAAAGCAATATTTCCATGGGAGATTAGGGGCTTTGGAGGTTTAGCTATTAACACAACATATATTAAATCACTTTTATCAATTAGGTCTATTGTTAGTAATTCAACATACTACATCTGTAAGTTTAGTACATTTGTCTCGCTTAGCACCTAATGATTTCTGATTGAAAAATTATCATAATCTAAAGGTCAGTCTACTTATAAAGAGTTTCAAATTGCTATGGAAAAAAGAAAAGCATAAACTTTGAGTTTACAAAAGAAAAGTCTCAGAATATATTATTGCATGTTTTTAAAATATATCTAATTAGTGCTATTTCTTGAGTAACTTTTATTACAAGTCAAATATTGAGACTGTTTCTTGTTTTTGCTAAAATACAAAGTTAAACACATCATGAAAAGAACACAAAATAAACACCCAAAGATCATTCTTTAAAGCATTTCAAAGCCAATTCTTTAAAATCACACATATAAAAAATGAAATTGATAGGGAACATGTTGTGATTAAGTGAATCTAGTTCGTGTTTTTCACACCTGATTGCCCAAATACCATTATCTAAGTAATGTATCAAACCTGACTTAACTCAATTTACCAACAGATCCATAATAATTCATTTGTCAACTTCACCTTTTCAGTATTAACTTCCATGCCTGTTATAACTCCCAAATGACTATTGTTTGGAAATATCTCTCCAGAAAAAACAAACTGATGATCTCATTGCTGGGTGACCTCTTAGCAATCAACCAAAATGCTCACTTGTGTCAGAAGCCTGTCATTCTTCTATTATAAAGGGAATATGTGCTGTTTAAAACAGACTTCTGGTGGAAAGGTCTAGATCACGTCTGATAACAATCACAGGTGCCCCTTGATTTCAATTGGTCCATATGCACCTATCTCATTTTCTGAGTGTTTTGTTTTAAATAACTAGTGTTTACTTCACAACCCCTCCAAAGGTTTTTAGATATTATCTACACTTTCTTGTCCAATAATCTGAAGCCCAAGAAAGGGAAGGTGCATACACTGGAGCCAAACACAGAGTATATGGGGGAAAAAATCTAAGTAGAGCAAAATTTAAAACTTTTTTCAAAAACGTCCTCTAAACATCCATATTCAACCAATCCAATTTTAACAAAGAGGTAATTTTGCGAACAGTAATTTTCATACCTTTAAAATATTTTCCTTCAAATAAAAACCTAGAAGGTAAACATCATAATCCACACTGAAATAAAAACTTTTTGTTAAGAACCAGACAGCTATTGACAAGAAACTATTAGAACCAAACACTCTGCCTCCCCAACATTAACCCCTGCCTTGCCCAAGAATCAAAATAGATGGTGAAAAGATGAAAAAAATACTCATGTCTTACATGGCACACACCATTCTAAACAGTTTGCCAACTTTGTCATTTAATCCTCATAACAACCCTATGAGGTAGATGCATTATGAACATTCTATCAATATAGCAATTGAGGCATAAAACTATTCAGTAACCTGCCCAAGATCAAATACAAACACATGCAAAGCAAGGATTTGGAGCTGGCAGTTTTGGTGTCAGCCTCTGCTATATCACCACTGCTCTTTGTTCCCTCTCACCCTCTTCCCCCCCAAAAAATTCATGTCATCAAACTCAAGAATGAATATTACAAATTTTATTTTTTCCAAAGTTGCTATCAACATTAATCGAATTCATTTATTGGACCGGTGTGGAATCCATACCGCACCACATGCTCATATAATTCACTTAGAGAAAAAGAGTAGTCTGCTTAAGCAGCAAACATTGCACATAGAAACTCTTGGCCTTAGGAAAATTTGCAACAGTCTAAAGCAATACAGGAAAATGTAAGAAAGAGTTTCAATCCCGTCAAGAAAAATTATGTTAGATGTATAGTAATAAACTTGTTTTCCAACTTTAGAGAGCCCCAATTTGGAGAAAAACAAGAATAATCCAGTCTTTATAAATAGCTATATCCCAAGCTTCCTGGTCTAAGTGTAGGACTAAGAATAGGTTAAGATAAGGTATTAGAGTAACAGATAATGCCTAGACGAGGCAAGAAGTCATTTGTTTGTTTTTCCAGGATGGGGAACTACACTGAATTGAGAACATCATTTTTATATCCTCACAGCCTCGAGTACAGCGCTGAGCAGAGGTGGGATAGTCAGCACATATTCATCAGGTAATAAAGATTCCTCTTCGAAAAATTCAGTCTCTTTTTTACAAGTCAAATTGAGACTTTAAGTCGGAGTTTCCTATCTTAAATCCACAAAAAGAAAAATGAAATCCGGAATAATTTGAAATGAGAGGAATATCCAGAAAGTTTTTAAAAGAAAGAGAAAAATACTTTGTCATATTAGTGATTCATTCTTTTTTTTTTTTTAAGTGAAGGTTATTTAAAGCAAAAAGGTGCACACTCAGAGAAGGGGGAGTGCAGGCTACCTCAGAGAAGAGGCGCCCCTAAGGTTTTAGGATCTGGGGTTTAATAGGCGGTTGAGGACTTTCAAAGGGTTGGGGGTGTGGACTTGCTAAGTGGTCCCGGAATGTTCATCATTGATGAGTCATTACATCTTTCTTTTTAGTAGTTTCCAGGTAATTCTCCAAACCAGCCCGAGGACCCGGCCAACTCGGCAGGTCCCCGCCGGCCCGCGCCCCTCACAGAGCCCAGTGCTGCCCCTCCATTCCGCTCTCCAGGTGCCTCCATACTTCACGGACACGTCCAGTTCGGCGGGCCTCCCGGAGGGTGACGTGCTGGCTCCGGGGCGAGCCTGGGGACGGCAGGCGCGGGGCTGGGGCGGGCGCGGGCGGGAGCCCCGCAGGGAGGGGCGCGGGGCGCCGGGGCGGGGCGCGGGCGGGCGGCACTCTGTTACCCTCTCTTCGTGAGAGTTATTTTTCCTTTCATGAATTCTCTTCTCAGAGAAGGGCAAGTCGTAATCAATGGGACATTGTCCAAAGTTAACAGAGTAAGGTAGTTTCTATGGCAAATCCTATTTTCCTGCTTAATCCTTTTAACACATGCTGGTCCTTCCAGACACTTGGTCTACCTGAAGAGGTCCATGTGGTCTTTTTAAAAATATGTAAAACATGTGATCTTTTTACTAGTTCCACCTTTCTTCACTGAACTGAAAGAAATAAATAAATTTAAGAGGCAATCCTTTATTCATTCAAAATTTTTACTTCATTTTTTCTGTGCTTTATTTTTATACTCTTGGTATACTTCTGAGGCTTATAAATTGAGTGATGGTTTACTACAATTCTCACACCTTATCCACACCAGGACCAGTCCTCCTTTGA